GGTTATACGTGTCCTGGTTGTAAGTATCCTGACTGTAGGCTTCCGTGTTATATGTTTCCGGATGAGTCTTCTGATAGCCTGTCGACGTGTTTATATTGTACTGGGAATTGTATTGCTCTTCTTGTTGTTGGTACTGATTGTACGTATTTGTCACGTTATTTTGGTCGTATACGCTCGATGGCACGGAGACGTTGTAACCATCGTATTGCTTTTGATACGTATCTTCTTCGTAGGCAGGCATCGTCTTCCTATCCTGATATTGTACGTTATTCTGGTCGTAACCCATCACCTGATAATTATCGTCTATTATCATATCTCGGCTAGTTTCCCTGTATTGATCGTTCGGTTGGCTAGTGTATTGATCATTCGGCTGACTCGCGTTCGGATATGCCACGTCTTGATACGTATCCTGATAAACCTGAGCGTTCTGCTGCACGTAAGGCTTCTGAAACTCGTCCTTATACGAGTTTTGTAAATACGATTGATCGTACGTATCCTGTGTCTGTGGCTCTTGATACGAACGAGTGTACTGGTCGTCGACCTGGGGCGTGTAACTGGACCCGTATTGACTATCCTCAGCGTATTGAGTTTTGCCAGGCGCGTGCATTTGGTCGTAACCACTCTGCTCGCTATATATACTGTCAATGTAGGTATCCTGAGGTAAATTATCTTGGCTGCGATAAGCGTAATTATAGTCCTCGTTGTAGTCAGACTTGTAGTAGCTCTCCTCGGAAGGAGGTCTAATCTTTGGCAGTTGCCTGCTCGGTGTGGCAGGTAGGGAGGGAAGCTTACGATTGATAATAACATTGCTTGGTTTTGTTGGTGTCGGAGGTAGTTTCTTTCCTGTTCCTTCCATTCGAAACGGCGGTCGTTGTTGTAGTTGAAGCGGTTTTCGACGACGAGCGCTGTGACCACTGCAAACACACAGAGATAAATTAATATCATACATTTAACATATTATATATTTAATATTATACACCTCGATGAAATAATTAAAGGAGAGGAAGTTGAAGGACCTGTAATTGAGTTCCTCCGATTCGTAACTGCGTTGTCGGGTAATTGTTGGTCTGTAATCGGGTCGATGAATACCGATACTAGATGCAGGCCTCTGCGGAAGCATTCTTCTATTCCGTTTGTTCTCGTAATGGGTACTAGTCCCCAGGTACCACTTCCCTCCGCTGTCCCATTGTCTGTCTTCGTCGTCTTGACCATACCTGACGTACAAATTCAACGTTAAAGTGCAAAACTATAAATTAATGTTCAAACACCTCGAACGAACGAACATTATCGTTCTCTCTAATCTGTTTCACTTCGCTAGTTCCAGTATATATTCAGACGTAGATTGAAATGCAAAGCCGAATAGCATTCGCTGTACTAACCTTTCATCTTGATAACCATATCCTGTGGTGCTATCGTAATACTCATTGTACCTAATGTCCGTTTGGCATTCAGGATACGTGGCGCTCATTTTCCCCACTCTCCCGTCGCTGCTATATCCGTCAGTGTAGTAAGAATGATCATCGTATAAAGTCATCTGTCTTTCCAAAGACGGTCTTCTGTAAGGGCCTGTTCACGTGCACAGATAAACAGAGTTACGGTCATTTTTATTGTCGTTGAAGAAACGTGTAGCGCCATGTATCAAAAGCTCACACAGTACACACCACGCAGTAAACATTGTTGGCCGAAAACTAGCCGAAGTCGTCTTACCTCGTTGTCTCGAAGTGCTGGTCGTGGTACTCGGATGGTATTCCGTGTCGCTGTAGATCTTCGTTTCGTCGACTCTCGTGCCATGGTAGTCGTAATCTTCGCTGTACCAACCATCTTGGCTGAAATCACGGGGACACGGTGAGACAAAGTCGTAATAATCGGACACAAAAGAAAGATAAAAGCGGAGATGAAATGATCCGCGTTAAATGACAATGGGTTCGCTGGAAGCATGATGCGCTCGGTTAAAAGACACATCCAGCAATCCTCACTCTTGTGTAGTTCGCAGCTTCACTAACTGCCCCATGCAACTACCTGTGGATGTTCGGTGCATTCTCTTTAACCTATGAGATATCGAAATATCGATCTACGTGTAATTCTCCTTCCGTTCCTTCCGTTCTTACTCTATAGGGGACTCAAACTCTACGCTTTACGAGCTAATTTCAATAACCACTATCTATAATTTCCGAGATATTTGACAAAACTTTGAGAGTAGAGTTTTCACTCCTCCAATGTCGAAGATTGCCGATAAAAAAAGAGTATGGGTCAAATACTTTTTTTGAAAATTACATTTATGCCAAATTTATTATTTAAGTGATGGGTAAGATTTCTTGTCAAAAGTCAAGTTGTATCAAGATTGTGCCGCAGGATATTTCGTTCGTAAATGCGAAAGGATCGCGAATTAATCTTTTACGTCGAGTTCGAACGACTCGCGATCGAATCGACGAATACAAAAATTACAAAGTGTTCGGATGTACGAATGAGCTGCGAATGATTCGAGAAAAATTACGACCAACTGGGCGACTGTGCTAAATGTCGTGTGACGAACTATAATGCGTCTGATTCCGCGTGCTACGTTTCTGTGAAAGCTACGTTGGCTATGGTGCTCCAAGGCACAGGGCTGAACGATGACTCTAATGAGAGAAAACAGCTAGATGGTAACGTGTGATCTACGGTTCAAAAATGCGAGTTATGCGATGAAAATCGTAGAACTTTCTCACGAGACAGAGCTGGGCTACTCGTTTCGTACCTGTCCTCGTAATCCCACGTGTGCTTCCGTCGTCTAGATCAGGCAGAAGAAAAGAGTAAGCGTTTTTTTTTTTTTTTTGTTTGTTTGTTTCTTTTTCTTTTCTTTTGAAGTCACGCGATTCACGCGACCAGGGTCGTGCAAATTCCCATCGAGTTCAACTCTACAGATTCGTCGAACTATACAACGAATACGTAGAAGCTAATGTACTTTGCAAAAAATGAAACGTTGCACGACCCTGTTATGTCTATCATCTTTTCGTACTCGACCGTAATAATTTTAATTTACTCGACGCGTTTAATTTCTATCTTAATGCAGCAGCGGCGAAAGAAGAAGAAGAAGAAGAAGAAGAAGAAGAAGAAGAAGA